ACTTTGCGAAAGGACATCGCTTCTGATCTCACTCCTTGTTCGCGTCCGAGGTCTGCAATGAACTGCCAATTTTTAGTTGTCGGTGAAAGACTAGTTTTCGGTATTTTTCGTGAATAATTTTAGCAGTATAGGAGCACGTTTCTCATCAGATATACGGGTGTGCATAAATAACTATAAGTATTCGTAAATGAAAATAATAATATATCGTCTTCTCAGCTTGAATAATATTCGAGAAAAAAACTTGGGGTGCGTATATCCTACTCTGCCAATTACATATTCAGTTGTCAAAAATAGTTCTCAGTATTTTTCCAAATGAATTTTGGCAGTACATATATATAACAGCATGTTTCTCATCAGATATGTTTGTGCATATACACATAAATTAAAATAATTTATTGCCTTCTCAGCATGAATAATATTCAAGATTTATGTGTATATCCCTGTTCTAAAATACTGTATTTATTCAAACCACTCTGAGTGGAATTTCAAGGGACCAGCAAAAAAATTCAACTTCGGGAGGTTTTGACTTAGGGAAACAAGCATTTTTGTTGTGGGAAGCATAGAAGAATTGCAGGAAATTTTAACTGGTGATATTCTGGGCCTTGAATTACTTCTTGAATGAGTTGACTAACCACTCTGAGTGGAATTTAAAGGGACCAGCAAAAAAAAATTTGACTTGGGGTGGCAGGAATTTTGTGATTGATTCAAGTGAATATGTCAGGATTTTTTTCAAATGGAGGATTTACGTAAATAATTGAAGCCAAAAGTTTGGGACGTGTTGATTTATACTTCCCTCTCTGCAGGAACTATGGTAACGAACAATAAAATTTGTGTGCGAACGTAAAGTACGATAAAAAGTTCAGAAGTGCCGTTGACATGAATTGAAGGAATTGGTTGATTTATTCAATTTATTGAATCAGGATTATCCGAATTAATGCTGTATCAACAACAATGAGTCATTTGATTGCTGCTCCGACTTGGACAACATTTGGCCAATTGAGTGACCTTTATTTAAACAACTTTCGCATTTAACACATTACTCGGACAAAATTTGGCAAGATCGTGTCATTTTTCTTATTGGAAATTGGCTGTATTATTGTCGCAGAAACATTTTAGAATTACGTCATTTGAAATATTTGTCGGTATTTTGTTGCTTGCAAATTCATGCAAACATCACGTGGCAGTTGACCGGTATTTATTTTGAGTTTTGAGGGTTACCATTCCACTTTCTGTCTTTTCTTAACCTGTGTGTGCAAAAATTGGCGTGAATGATTAAAAATTACTCTGTACAGGATTTTTTTTTACGTTTTAATCCATCAATATGTATGACTTTGAAAAGGTAAGTGCAAGACGTACGAAATGTATGAATTAATAACCGACCCTCTCATGTTCTATTATATTGTTGAATAATCTCTTCAGTTTCCTTTTTTTTCAAGAAAAACGTCTCACAACTCTCGTTTACAATTTAACGTCTACTGAAAATCCATGATTGAAAAGTAAAGTATCGTATAATCGTGGAGTTTTTAATTAGTTAGTGCTTATCATCATATATCTGCCTGTTTCTCAGTCAGTTCTTTCACTTCCCTTTCTATACATATGCACCCCGCTTATCAGTAAGTAAATACCTAAGCTTGGCAGTTGGTGTCGTATAGTTTACCGTATGTGCATGTATTGGTGGTATTGATAAATTTTTATCTTGCTAAGTCTAGGAATCTGCTGGTCGCAGCCATCGCGGGCACAGAGGTGAGTGAAAACGGGGATCGACTCTTGGGAATAAGTTTCCCCTCTTATTGTGTTTCTTCTTCATTTTTGAGTTTCGCTTTGTCTTATTATGAATAGCTTTTCTGTGAATTAAATGATGGTGGAATCTCCATGATTCGATCAACCGGGCTATAAAATATATGTATTTTTAATTGGGAAATTTGTTCTTATTCCGAAGTTGAAAACTAGCGGAAATTTAAGATTGTTTGTGATGGAGCATTTTACTTCGTGATCCAAAAGATATTTTCCGCATACTGTTGATGTTATTATCGTACTGCATCATTTTCCTGCAAATTGTAGTTACAATATTGGAGAAAATAAAATTGCCTGTTGAATTTTCACATTCAAATAAAAATTAAGGTACAGAGTACTTGGAATTTCTGTAAACCGTGATTTTTTTTCCGAAAAAAGGCGGAATACTCATCTATAAATAGTTTTAAAAAATAAATGAGGAAATCTAATACTGTACATAATTTATTGTGCTTGGTGCTTTTTTAATCGTGGCTAACGCAAATTGATTTCCATTATTCGCCATTGAAAACGCTACAATGACACATATCAGGGTTTTTGGGCTTGTTCCTCAATTTTTAAAGTGTGGCATTGGATCATCAGCGTCGTGTCTACATTCAGTTTCTTAACCTTGATATCTCGTGATAATCATTTCCTGGATTACTCCATATGTGATATAAAGTGAACTTGAGCAAGTAAAAAAAAAAGCATGGACACGCCGGAAGGAAAGTGTTGGCGGTGCCTGAAATCAGCCAAGTTCTGGTGCACTTCCTGTCAATTTGCGCAGTATTGCTCTCAGACTTGCGCTAAAACGGACAGAGGTGATCATGAGGTGAGTCATCAAGATTCTCACAAATTAAGATGTTTTCTTTTGAAAATTAAGTTTTTGTATTCCTATTTTTATCTTTTTCATGATGATTTTTCTAATAATTGATAAATTCTGGCCGATTGATACGAGTGACATTTTTTTGAACCAGCACTTTCGCATTCAGCATCACTTGGACAAAATTTGGTGAGATTATATATAACTGTTTCCATTAGAAAATGGCTTTATTGTTACCAAAATAATACTTTTAAATTACATGATTCAAGAAATACAGTACTGTACAGTATATCTGTTGGTATGAATGAATGAATAAACAGAAAGCGTTATTTTCCGCTTTTCAGCATTCACAAGGTTCAATCAACATTCACATGTCCAAACCCCCTCCCCACCCAACCCAAATCCATTCAAAGTCATTCAATTACTTCAGAATGGGATACAGAGAAATTATAGATGCATATGGATAACAAAAATAAAATAAAATACATTCCACAAAATACAACTGCACAGCTGATGTGTTTGCATACACCCCTTCTTTCCATGACATTGAAAACAAAATATCAGTTAATTGCAGCATATGCCAAAATTTAATCAATATATTGCAGCAGTTAATAAACCCAATTTAAAGCACAAGGTCTTCAGCTTGTTTGTTTCCAGATGAGGTTTAGTTGAATGAACAATTTAGAGAGAATCTTTGATGAGAAATCATATAAAGCCAACAGTTTATCTTATTGATCCTTTTTATGATTTCAGAAAGGGTCTCTTCATTATTGAATTCCAATACTTGTAAATCTTTCTTAAGCTCATTTCTATCAGTATGGAATGCCGTGCATAATAAGAGAAGGTGATCTGTTGGTACATATTTGCATAAAGTTTTTTTGCAATTTGATTCTATGTTACTGTATACATTTCTTCAAAGGCCCTGTGATTTGTCATCAAAGTTCATGTATACTGTATTTTGCATATTATTTGTGTACAGTAAATAATTCAACTGTTCTCTCCATGATTTTGAGTTTTTGGTGTTCGCTTGTTTTTTTTTTCCTCAGAAAGAATGCGCACTGGGAACATGGGGCGTTGGTCCTTGTGCCTATTGTGGCAAAGAGGAAAGTTACAATTGCAAATGCGAGCAGTGTGGAGCAGCACGATATTGCAGTTCGAGTTGCTTGCTCCTGGACGAAAGGAATCACAAGCCAGTTTGCGTCGACATTCAAAATCGGATGCTTTCCATGGCCAGATCCATTCGCACTTTGCGAAAGGACATCGCTTCTGATCTCACTCCTTGTTCGCGTCCGAGGTCTGCAATGAACTGCCAATTTTTAGTTGTCGGTGAAAGACTAGTTTTCGGTATTTTTCGTGAATAATTTTAGCAGTGTAGGAGCACGTTTCTCATCAGATACGCGGGTGTGCATAAATAACTATAAGTATTCGTAAATGAAAATAATAATATATCGTCTTCTCAGCTTGGATAATATTCGAGAACAAAACTTGGGATGGGTATCCTACTCTGCCAATTACATATTCAGTTGTCAAAAATAGTTCTCAGTATTTTTCAAAATGAATTTTGGCAGTACATATATATATAACAGCATGTTTATCATCAGATATGTTTGTGCATATACACATAAATTAAAATAATTTATTGCCTTCTCAGCATGAATAATATTCAAGAGTTATGTGTATATATCCTTGTTCTGAAATACTGTATTCAAACCACTCTGAGTGAAATTTCAAGGGACCAGAAAAAAAATTCAACTTTGGGAGGTTTTGACTTAGGGAAACAAGCATTTTTGTTGTGGGAAGCATATAGAAGAATTGCAGGAAATTTTAACTGGTGATATTCTGGGCCTTGAATTACTTCTTGAATGAGTTGACTAACCACTCTGAGTGGAATTTAAAGGGACCAGCAAAAAAAAATTTGACTTGGGGTGGCTTCAAGTTACTGTATATATATAGACTTATATGAGGTTCAAGTTATGGAACCAAGCTTTTTTGTTGTGGGAAACATGGAAGAATTGAAAGAAATTGTAAATGGTGATATTCTAGTCCTTGAATTACTTCTTAAATGAGTTGAAAAACCACTCTGAGTGGAATTTCAATGGACCAGATCACCAGAAACAGTTTTTGACTAGGAGAGGTTTTTGAGTTGGGGAAACAAGCATTCTTGTTGTGGGAAGCGTAGAAGAATTGCAGAAAATTGTAAATGGTGATATTCTGCGCCTTGAATTTCTTCTTGAATGAGTTGACAGCATGTTGAACGTGGAGCCAGGGGTTCATTTGACCAACTTATTCTTTCACTTTCTTTCAAAGCTCAACAATTCACATTTTTAATGCTTTTTTCTTCTATGTGTCAAGAAAATAATAGCCAAAAGGCCTCAGAAAATTTTATTTACAAATGTTTGAGAGGAAAAGACATTTCCTTTCAAATGAGAAATATGAGAGGATAATGTCTAACAAGAGTTAGACAGGGTTTTACAGGATTGTTTCTATAGGAATTCAGAGGGGGGACCTTAAAAATTTTGACCTATATTTGGAGGTTTGATGAGTTGTCAAGGTATGAACTATACATTACTGTACTGGTAATTATGCCGATTTTTACGTACGTATATTAATTCTTCGTAATCCATTTCCGACCGGTTTGAGCGAAAATTCCAGTTATTGTAATATTACTATTGATGTTGGATGTCTGCTGTTTTGCATTCCTTTTTTGTGTATAGAACCTTGGCAGGTTGGGGGTTTCCGGCATTGGATATTTTACGAGCCCAAGAAAACGAATGGAGACTTCGGAAAAATTGTTCCTTATTCAAAAACTTTTCGGTGCTTATTTTTGGCGCGGATTTCAAACACGTTTTGGCAACTGTTGCTGGTTTGGGAGATAATCCTGTGAAGGTACTTGGTTGTTTTCTGCTTTATTAAATAAGTTACTTGATTGATTAGTCTTTACATCTATTTTCTGTTTGAAAATAACAAGGGACGAATATATATAGTGTGTATATAGAGAAACCAGTGAATTCACTGCTGTGTTTCGAATTTTCCGATCTCGTCCGCTACGATGGTGAGGAATTTTATATTCAACGTGGGTAGATGTCACTTTCAATCCCGAAGACCTTCCGATTTTGCCATGAATGACAAGATTCGAATGTGTATGAAGTACAGTATATACATTTCCATCTTCGTGCTTCTGGCTTTCTTCAGCATTAACACGAGAATTATTTTGTTCCCTATGTTATGAAAGGGTCCATTTCGGGGGGCGGAAAAATTTTGTTTGCCTATATTTTCCATTTGAAATTTATGAGTGGCGAACTTTAATGTGAAATACTGTATAGTACCTCATCAAAGCTACAGAAAGTTTTACAATTTACTGTACCATGCTTCGAATTTGCCAAACGCATCCAGCACTACGATGCCGGGGAGTTTTATATCAACGTGGGTAGATGTCGCTGTCACCCTCAAACAACTTCGTTTTTCCACTTCATTATATTATTGGCTTGTTTAGCAGTATGAAAAGTTGATGGACATCGTTTTGCTGGGTGATATTTTCATGGCCTACTTTCTTCGGCAATTTTTTCCTACTTCGAGTCATTATTTTTGAACTTCCTAATTATTATTGGCGGTGTATTATAATTCTCTGCGGATTGTTTTATGTGGTGTTGCTTCAAGAATGTTATCCAACATTCAAAACACATGGACTTCTTGATGGCTTTTGCATGAATTATTTGTGTGTACATGGACAACGTAAATAATCTAAATAAGCTATGAATGGACTGAGCATATATATATAGAAAACGTTGATCGCTGCAAAGATTTGATTACGTACATTTTTTCGCTCATCGAAAGTAGTAAACTTTCTAGCTCAATACAATTATGCAGGTCCTCTTTTATTTTAAAGTTTTTCGCAGATTTTCTGTCATTTATCCTCGTTCTTAAATGGTTCCAGCAGCAGGAACCATCATTAAGCGGAGGTTCGGTCGACATTTTGAAGCTGACGATTGTGGAGGACGATCCGGAGATTTTAGCACGACTGGTGTTGCTCGTCCGAATGTTGCAAAATGAATTCATCGCATCCGAGGCCGTCGTTCAGGCCATGTACTACTGCCATCTGGGATTTCCAGAGCGTGAAGCATTTCGCGGGATTGTCCAAGGAGTGATTGACGAGTTACTTCACGACGCCAACCTTCCTTCGAAAGAGAAGAAAAAGTGAGAGCAGGTTCCCACTGCTTTTTTTCGTTCTTTGTTCTTAAGGTTTTACCCGTGATCAAAGAGATTTTATGAATAAAATCCCACAATCAGCCTGGGACCGGCTGGGATGAGCCTCTATATATGCGAGGGTTCTAACAAAAGTTCTCGGAGTAGCAATGAAAATGGCATACAATTGAGCTGAAAAAAATTTATTCTCTAGCCAAAACATATTCTTTGGCACACAAAAAAAAATCAGCCTGGTTTGACAACTTTTTTAAAGTGTTTTTGCAAAATTCATCCATATAGAATTTTGCTCTCCACTCAAAAAATGAGGCGCCCTTTTTTTGTTGTAGCCCAGCTTTCCCATCAGAATTTTTGAAATCAACTTGGCATTCTTTCTAAGGGTTGCCTCCAGGTCATCCAAGGCAATTCCGCCATTTTCATCAACAGCCGCGTTCACAGCCTCCACATTGGTCGCCATTTTGGGGGCTGCTGATGAAAATTCTGATGGGAAAGCTGGGCTACAACAAAAGAAGGGCGCCTCATTTTTTGAGTGGAGAGCAAAATTCTATATGGATGAATTTTGCAAACAAAATTTAAAAAATGGTCCAATTGGGCTAATTTTTTTTGTGTGCCAAAGAATATGTTTTGGCTCAAGAATAAATTTTTTTCAGCTCAATTGTGTGCCATTTTCATTGCTACTCCGAGAACTTTTGTTAGAACCCTCGTATATAGACAAGGCTCAAAAAACAGCAATCGGATTTTAGCAGTAAAAACGGCCTTGAAGGCTTCTAAAAGAAATTTGAGAACCAAGGTTTTCGTCAATTCTCACAAAGATAAATGAAGAGGATTTTCCCTAGAATTCAGGTTCTCTGATTTTGTGTGACAAATTGAATAAAGTTTCATTTATTTTTTGCAACACATGCAAATGTATTCAATTGGTTCTCCAGTTTGTCAAAAATTAGGAATAAATACGTCCTCCAAAAATTCAATGATTTTTTTGCACAACTTCGAAGTTATATAGAAAACAACACAGTGCAAAAAAAGACCACATAGAATCAGATATTTTGGCAAAAAAAGGATCCCAAAAAGAAAATAACAAGAATAAGTCTTGCTTTATAAATCTGCACAGATGATAGGAAAAACTCTGGAAAAAAACTCAAAATCATGATTGTTCTTGATTGTGAATTAGAGAAAATTTATATCAAAATATTTTTTCAATTTTTGTGAATACAAATAGCTCAATTTGTCTGAGATGTAAAAAGTAAAAAATAAAAACGTTTTCAGTTTTATGGAAAATGCCAGAAAAGTGTCCCTGTCTTGAGCAAATGCAATAAAAATTTAGTTTAGAATGTTGTTAAACAATTAGAAAAGTGGGCTTGGAGAAAGGTTCCTCAGAATGAAAAATTGAAATAATTTATTTCAGCAAGTGAAAATTTGTCTGGTTCTATACTCTATGGATGAATAAGAATCAATTTATTTATTTTTCATGCTGGATTATGTATACTACGAATTTCCAGACATTGTCTTTGGCGAGCTAATGTTTTGAAAAATGCGAATGAAATTTTTTTTTATTTTTTTCCGCGAATTTATTATTATACCATTATGTATTTAGGTCGGCATTTTATTGCAAGCGCACTCGTGCCCAGTTGTACTTGGTGTTCAAAGCCTGGAAGTCGTTATTGTCGACGAAGCCAACAGCAGCAGCAGCAGGAGATGACCAGCATCATCACGGCCGCCTTTCGGACGCCATCAAGGCGTCAGTCGGCGCCGACGGTCACGCCGATAAACTCGGGCATTATTTGGCGCAGTTGCCTTCGGAGTGGCTCCGCCGCAACGTTTTGCGCCATCTGCTGCGCAAAACTTACGCGAATTGCGAAGTCAGTCCCGTTTGCGTCAACCCGACTCTGGTCAAGATTTGTGCCAAGGTGAACGATCATCATGAGCAACCCGGTGCGGATGGCGAAGAGAAGTTTGGAAAGAAATTCGTTTTTCAACCCAGCGAGCATCTCGAGCTCATTTTCGAGGTTTTGTATATGTATACAGCTGTACAGTATATATGAAGGTTTTGGATTCTTTCTTTCTTATCCTCATTTTTTTTAATTTATAGGTTTTGTTTGCTTTCCATAAACCTATAGATGAACAAGACCTCTGATATTTTTGGATTAGGTGTGGGGGATTGTGGGAGAAAAAAAAAATCAGTCAATAGCCCATGATGTTCTGAGGACCTTTTTAAAAATCTAGGTTTTGTTTGCTTTCCATAAACCAATTAGATGGACAAGACCTCTGATATTTTTGGATTAGGTGTGGAGGATTGTGATAAAAAAATCTTTCAATAGCCCATGATGTTCTGAGGTCCTTTGAAAATCTAAGTTTTTTTTTTTGCTTTCCTTAAACCTATTAGATGGACAAGACCTCTGATATTTTTGGATTAGGTGTGGAGGATTGTGAGAAAAAAATCTTTCAATAGACCATGATGTTCTGGTTCTGAGGTCCTTTAAAAATCTAGGTTTTGTTTGCTTTCCATAAACCTATTAGATGGACAAGACCTCTGACATTTTTGGATTAAATGTGGGATTGTGAGAAAAAAAATCAGTCAATAGCCCATGATGTTCTGAGGTTCTGGTTCTGAGGTCCTTTTTTTTAAAATCTAGGTTTTGTTTGCTTTCCATAAACCTATAGATGGACAAGACCTCTGATATTTTGGGATTAGGTGTGGGATTGTGAGAGAAAAAAATCAGTCAATAGCCCATAATGTTCTGAGGTTCTGGTTCTGGGGTCCTTTTTAAAAAAATCTAAGTTTTGTTTGCTTTCCATAAACCTATAGATGGACTCTGATATTTTTGGATTAGGTGTGGGGGGCATTGTAAGAAAAAATCTTTCAATAGCCCATGATGTTAGGTTCCTTTTTTAAAAATCTATGTTTTGTTTGCTTCCCATAAACCTATTAGATGGACAAGACCTCTGATATTTTTGGATTAGGTGTGGGATTGTGAGAGAAAAAAAAATCATTGAATAGCCCATGATGTTCTGAGGTTCTGGAATTTTTTTTTAGGATTTTTAAAAATTTTTTGAAGTTTTTGCACGAGGATAAGTGGAAACTTTTCAGTTACAGCCATTTGGCATCCATGTCACAGAATGCTAAAAATTTGTTGGGAAAACTTAAAAAAATGTATTTGTTGTTTTTATATAACCATCATCTAAACTCTAAAGCAGTGTTCCCCAACCTTTATTTTTTGCTGGTCTGCAGGAAATTTTCTTGAGCTTTATCAATAAAAGAAGCAATAAAGTCTGTTATCTTTATCTGAAATTTTGGAAAGAAAATATCAGTTGAAATTATCTGATGAAAAATGAAAGTTGGCTTTTCTCCTAATAAAACCTCGGACAAAGTCTCACCTGCTGAAATAAATTATTAAAAATTTGTTCATTCTGAGAAACCTTTCTTCCAGCAACATTTTCTGATTTATTTAAAGACATTCCACTAAAGCTGCTGCATTGGTTCTTTACTTAATTTTAGCAAAAAAGCAAAACTTTTAAATACCTGCCATAAAGGATTTCAAACAAAACTCTTTGAGTCTCATCACAGAAACAATTGCAGTTGAAATTGTCTGATGAAAAATAACCTCTGATATTTTTGGATTAGGTGTGGGGGATTGTGGGAGAAAAAAAAAATCAGTCAATAGCCCATGATGTTCTGAGGACCTTTTTAAAAATCTAGGTTTTGTTTGCTTTCCATAAACCTATTAGATGGACAAGACCTCTGATATTTTTGGATTAGGTGTGGGATTGTGAGAGAAAAAAAATCAGTCAATAGCCCATGATGTTCTGAGGTTCCTTTTTTGAAAATCTAGGTTTTGTTTGCTTTCCATAAACCTATTAGATGGACAAGACCTCTGATATTTTTGGATTAGGTGTGGGATTGTGATAAAAAAAAATGAGTCAATAGCCCATAATGTTCTGAGGTTCTGCTGGTTCTGAGGTCCTTTTTTTTTAAAATCTAGGTTTTGTTTGCTTTCCATAAACCTATTAGATGGACAAGACCTCTGATATTTTTGGATTAGGTGTGGGATTGTGAGAGAAAAAAATCATTCAATAACCCATACGTTCTGAGGTTCTGGTTCTGAGATCCTTTTTAAAAAATCTAGGTTTTGTTTGCTTTCCATAAACCTATAGATGGACTCTGATATTTTTGGATTAGGTGTGGGGGATTGTAAGAAAAAATCTTTCAATAGCCCATGATGTTAGGTTCCTTTTTTTTAAAATCTAGGTTTTGTTTGCTTCCCATAAACCTATTAGATGGACAAGACCTCTGATATTTTTGGATTAGGTGTGGGATTGTGAGAGAAAAAAATCATTCAATAGCCCATGATGTTCTGAGGTTCTGGGATTTTTTTTTCAGGATTTTTAAAAAGTTTTTGCATGAGGATAAGTGGAAACTTTTCAGTTACAACCATTTACCATCCATGTCACAGAATGCTGAAATTTTGTCAGGCAAACTTAAAAAAAATTTTTTTTTAGTTTTTATATAACCAACATCTAAAGCAGTGTTCCCCAACCTTTATTTTTTGCTGGTCTGCAGGAAATTTTCTTGAGCATTATCAAAAGTAGCAATAAAGTATGTTATCTTTATCTGAAATTTTGGAAAGAAAATAGCAATTGAAATTATCTGACAAAAAGTGAAAGTTGGCTTTTCTCCTAATAAAACCTCAGACAAAGTCTCACCTGCTGAAATAAATTATTTAAAATTTGTTCATTCTGAGAAACCTTTCTTCCAGCAACATTTTCTGATTTATTTAAAGACTTCCACTAAAGCTGCTCGTAACCAAGAAATGAATTAAAATCGTTTTTTCGTTTTGAAAATTTATGGACGGTATTTCCTAAAGTTTGTTTTGAGAAACTCAGAGTAGTGTCTTTGTTAACGTCAACTTTAACAGACTACTTTTTAAAAATTTGACTTTTCTCCTATAATAACACTTCAGACAAATTCTCACCTGCTGAAAAAAAGTAATTTTAATTTTTCAATTCTGAGAAACCTTTCTTCAAGTTTATGATTTCATCCAAATAATTTGTGACAAAAAAAACCGTAAAAAGCTTTCGTTTTGTTTTCATCGCATTATTGTAATTTTTCCCCCCGTGTGCAATTTCATTTTCAGGATTGGCTTCCCAATGCTTGTAAATCAACCATCATTAATAAGTTGCTCCAATGGGATGACGAAAGCAACGATGACATCATTGGTCCTGTGTACGAGAAAATGGTGGCTGATTTCGTGGTTTCTGCCAGAAAGAATATTGACAAGTTCAAGGTTGTTTTCGTGCTGAATTCCTTGGAGGAGTCGCTATTATTGATGAATGATCAAAAATTTGATCGGATTCTCACTGGACCGGAACATGCTGGTGAGAAGCTTGAATTTTGAAAAATTGGGTTGTAAATGCAGACCTGATATGTGAAGACCATGACATATGGACAATTCAACTTATAGGGACACTTGAAAACAAAAGAAAAATCGGTCATGACATCTGGACATTGGCTCAAGTTTGGTACACCTTTCTAAAATTTTTCCCAAACATTTAAGCTTGTTATTTTTGAAATTTTGATATAACATTTGAAGAAATCAACCTATTTATATTCACAAACATTGGAAAAATATGTCATGATAAATTCACTCTAATTCATAATCAAAAGCAAGCTGATTTTGTGCTACTTTTTTCAGAGTTTTTTTCCATCATCTGTGCATATTCTATAGCAAAACTTATTTTTTTTTCTTTTTGATCTCCTTTTGTAGACAAATGATCAGATTCTATATGGCTTAGTTCTGTACTGATTTTTCTACAACTTGAAGTTGAGGGAAACAATTTTTATTTTTGTAATTTTTTTAGGACTTTTCTGATTCTTGACAGAAATGAGAACCAATTGAATAAATTAGCATTGAAGGCTAACAGGAAATGAGACTTGACTTAGAGACACTCTTGATGCACCAATTACTGTATGTCTGCATCTTGAAGTCTCACTATATAAATGCTATTTAAGAAGCGTTTTCAATTTGAAACAAAGTTCCTGAATTGGAAATCTCCTAAACAAAAGCAAGCCTTCTATAACAGGCAAACTCTGCAATTAAATTTTTAAAAAGTGGAAACAATTGTATCAGCAAGAATTTTGTTGCATGAGAACCTTGATTACATGAATTATAAAATAAAAATTCCTTAAAAACTGCTCTTGATTTCAGTTGTATGAATTAAGGAATTTCTTACTTGAAAACTGAGATTTTTACCGCAATTTTCACTCATTTCAGCCTAACTGGAAGAAAAATGCATCCTCTGAGATAATGGAGCTTTCATATTTTTTTTTAATTTACATAATTTTGGCTTCATATTGGGGTGAAAGCCAGTTCCATAAATTTGTGCGCAACTATTTGTGAATTTTCCTTTGTGTATTTTTACTGGCGCATTGAGCACAAGTACAAAATTACCTGTCGTCCTTCAACAAGTAACCAGCTTTAGTAATATGATTCTTTTTTTTAATGTAATGCCCAGCAGTGGTGTGACTGGGCCACACAACTGGGCATGCTCTCTTCCATGTGTGATCTGATGAAAATTTCAAATCCAAAATTTGTCCATTGCCCAGGTGTGGCTGCGGACCCTCAGCTTTATTGTAAATCATAAAATAAAAATTCATTGAAAATTGCTCTTGATTTCAGTTGTATGGATTGGGGAATTTCTCACTTGAAAATGGAGATTTTTGCCAGAATTTTCACTCATTTTCCGCGTAACTGGAAGAAAAATGCATCCTCTGTAAATTCAGTTTTCATATACAGAATATTTTTAAAATTTACATAATTTTGGCTTTCTATATTTTGGCTTTGAAACGCAGTTCCATAAATTTGTGTGAGACTCTTTGTGAATTTTTCCTTTGTGTACCGGTTATTTTTATAAAATCATAAATGCATTTTTTTTTTGCGCGCGAACCATAGATCGCCTCGGGACCCCATTTCTCATCGAATCATGCGCAAACATGATCAATGCAATCAATCCGGATGCGAGACTCATCACTTTCCATTCAATTTGGAGTCAATTTCTCAATTCGAAAATCGATCTGCTGACGGGATTGTGTTCCTCGCACCGAGTCCCAAGTACTGCTGCTGATGTACAGGATAAAAAGCTCGTACCTCTGTTCTCAGTTGTTGCCAATACCTCGAGTTCGTACGCTGAAGTACTTCGCCAATTTCTCCGCGCAGAATTGTTGGAAAACCGTGGGCATTATCACAAGGTCAAGGTGAGTGGAAGAGTCTATACAGTTGCTTTTTTTTTTTTTAATATTTCTTTATTTTATATTGATTTTAATGTCATCAGGATGGCATTAATTTTAATGTTGGCATTGTAGGTCAAAAATTTGCGTACTTTTGAACCTCAGCGGAGTTTCTGCAAAACAAGGAAACTTGTGCTGATTTTTAACTTTCACGTATTTAGACAATATGGATTCTTTCCGAGAGGAAACACAGATTTTTTTCCAATGTTTTGAATTTCTCAGTATAATTCAATATTTTAGAAATTTTTACACTCGAGCTAAATTTTATTTGCATGCTTGTATAGCGACCATCTTTAAAGAAATGAAAAAGGATTTTTTGAATATTTTTCCTTGAAGTGATGATTTCTTGTTGTCCAATGAAATCGGTCTGACTTTTTGGCACGATCATTAGATAAATATTTTTTTCATTTCGTTTAAATATAATCTTTTAAATTTAAAAAAATGCGGTCATCCCCTGTTATATACATGAACTCTCTATTGTTGCAGCTTACTTTGGCGAAACTGCCGAAATTTTCTGACGTGCAAAATGGATTAGACTTGCGATTGGTGCAATTTTCCCAGAAAAACAGAGTCGTTGTTCCTTTGAAGCTGAGAAAAAAAGGACGGGAACTTGTGAACTTGAATGAAGACATGTGAGTGCTGCTGGTAACATTTTCAATTTGGCAAGCTAAAAACTGCCTGCTGTAATTGAAAAAAAAATATCTGAACAAATAATTTGGCCAATAAACCCTTGCCATATCAACTTCAACATCTTTTCAACTCATTCAAGAAGCAATTTAAGGCCCAGAATATTGCCAATTACAATTTCTTACAATTCTGTTTTCCTTTCCCTCAACAAAAAAATGCTTGATTCCCTAACTCAAAACCTTCATAATTTAATAAATTTTTTCTGGTCCTTTGAAGTTTAAGTTTGAGTATTCTTGTTCCAATTGTCTGAAATATTTGTTGAATGAGAAAGAAAAACTGGACTGCTCATATTGTACCAATGGTACCTTGCAATTTGACCCTAATCTGTTGCCAAACTAGGGTTGAATTGCAAAGCAGTCAAATTGTGAGACACTTTGTGATGATTCAAAAATATAAGTACAAAAATGCAAAGAAAGTGGACAACGCAGACCAAATTTTTGTATGTCCAAAATTTGTGGAGTTACGCCCTTGGAATTTTGCACGTTTTGAGTTGGACCATATGCTAAGCAATATTTGTTTGCTGAATTTTTTTTTTGGAAGCAAGTTTTTATTGCACAATGCAAGATTGTATTTGCTGATTGTGTGTGTGGCTGTGTATTTTGATACCTGTGATCAGAGACAATAATACATTTGGTACAGTACCTTGCAATTTGACCCTAATCTGTTGCCAAACTAGGGTTGAATTGCAAAGCAGTCAAATTGTGAGACAATTTTTGATGATTCAAAAATATAAGTACAAAAATGCAAAGAAAGTGGACAAAGCAGACCAAATTTTTTCAAGTCCAAAATTTGTGGAGTTACACCCCTTGGAATTTTGCACGTTTTGAGTTGGACCATATGCTAAGCAATTTTTGTTTGCTGATTTTTTTTTAAGCAAGTTTTTATTGCACAATGCAAGATTGTATTTGCTGTTTGTGTGTGTGGCTGTGTATTTTGATGCCTGTGATCAGAGACAATAATGCAGGTGGTACCTTGCAATTTGACGCTAATTCATTGCCAAACTAGGATCAAATTGCAAAGCATTCAAATTGCATACACTTCTTGATAATTCAAAATTTAAGTAAAAAATGCAAAAAGTGGCCAAAGTAGGTTGAATTGAAGGGCAAGGGTCAAATTGCAAGTCAATGTCCTTGCAAATTTGACTGTTGAATTTCAGGATGGAATTGCAGGAGGTCAAATTGTAAAATACCACTTGTATTGCGTAATTTTGATTGAACTTGGATCAACCAGTGCACATGATAAATCTTTTAATGATGACTTACTTTATATTTTTGATGTAAATTATTTTGTAGAGAACTAATAATTTAGCAAATGAACACGGAACTCCAAATTCTGCATCCTGTCAACTCATTTTTCCTGCAATTGAAGGCCAAAAATCTGCACATATTTTTTTCTGTTTCCCTCTAACTCGTATTTTTTGCTGGTCCCTTGAAATTCGAAATTAATATGTTTGACTGTACTGTGAAATTGAATATAAGCCCTTTATAAAAGTAATTAATATGAATGAGTATAAAATTTACTCGGAATACTGTATTTATCACGTGTTGCCCTTGAGTACATGAGACGCTCACGTGGATTTTCCAGCCAAACATTCCCTCGAAAACCTATAATATACTATATCTGCAGGATAGCGTTGGAATGGGTCCCTAAGGAGCAGCCCAAGGGAACCCATCAGCAGAGGTCGAACCCAGCAGAACCGCATTCCATCTCTGGATCGGAAATGCTGCAACGCATCGCGTCCCTGCCATCCAGCAACACTTACTTTTCCCTTTTGCCACCAGCAGCAGCACCTGCGACGAGAACCCGAATCACTTCTCATCATCAGCAACAACAGGTGCCTCGGAAACCCGAAAATAATGAGAATAAGTACCAGCAGCAAGTACTACAGCAACAGCAGCCACGAGTCACTCACCTGTGACCCAACAGGAACGCACAAAAAAAAAAGCACCTGCGCCGACGATCGAAGGACCCGATGTTTATATATAGTTGAAAACTAGGCCAAGAACTTTTATTGGGCATCAGTTTACGTGATGTGAAAGGACGTGTGTGGTTTTTTTTTTTTGGTTTTGATTTTATTTTTTGGTCGAGTGTGGATTGAGCTGATGATGATGATGATGGGGGTCGATCCCTGAGGCGGTTTTTTTTTTTTTAAGGATGCGTTTTTTGTGCTGCGCTGGAGAGTTCGTCTTGGAATTAAAACTGTATTTCCTGTTGTTGAGATTTGAACAGTTTTTTTTTGTATACAGTGAGACCCCCACATGCGGACACCTCGACATGGGGGCAATTTGACTTGAGGACATTTATCTTTCAACAAAAATTCATGAAAAAAGGCCTGACATAGGGACACTGACCCAACATGCGGACATAGCATGAAACAGATGTTTCCAACCCTAATATCTACGTAAGAAAAATTCTTTGGTACTTTTCCCATCCCTTTCCCATCCATTCAGCTTATTAAAAAAATTAACTGTAGCACAGAGGGACGTCCTTCTCTTTTTGTGACTTTGATTTCATTTTTAAAGATGCCAAAATTTCAATGAACTGTATGGTGGTATACTATTCAATGCTCCAAATGTTCTTATTGAGTTGAAAATATATTCAGTGAATCAAATTCCAGAGGCAAACAAATTTTTTTTCATGGAATTCTGAAGAATATTTCTTCCATAAAACACCAAATAAAAATTATATAATGTAAATCTATGGGAAAACAAGACTCAACTTTGGGACAACTCAACTCTTAGGGACACTAAATTTGACTTGGGGAGGTTTGCATTTTTGAAGATTATGAGCAAAGGAAAAAAAAATTTTTGCTGCGAGAAAAAGTTTAAAAAATTAATTTAGCTTTTAATTTCCTGACCCAGCAAAGAGAAAAGCAATGAAAAAAGTAAAAATGTGTTATGAAAGGAAGTTAAAGAATAATTGGTAAAATAAGCCCTTACTTTAACTTCAAAACCTCTCAACTCATTCAAGAAGCAATTTAAAGTCAAGAATATCACCAATTACAATTTCCTGCGATTCTTATTCTTGTTCCCCAACAAAATGCTTGGTTTCTTTGCTGGTCCATTAAAGTTTGACTTTAAGAGGTTTGACTGTGTACTGTTTCCAATTTTTTTGTGAATATTTGTTGAAAGAGAAAGAAAAACTAGATTCAATATT